TACATATAAATAAAAATTGAAACTAAGCTTTTTGTAAGAGATGCAATATTCACCTAAAATCAAAATAAAACTACATGCTGCCTCTATAGAAAAAGGCTCCATGCTAAACACACATTTTACAATCAAAATCTCTTTGACTGTAAAGATCTTTTATTACAGACTTTGTACTATTGTGAACCTTGAGGCTACATTGGGAATTTTTTTTTTAAACAACAGGACAAATTCCAAATATTACGTTATGTTATATTCTGCTGCCCCCTGCTGATCAGATGAGGAACCGACTATAGCAGAAACCTAAGCACTGGTAGGATCAAATCAGAAGCTTCCACAGAAATATTCATTCATTCGTTTCTTTTAATGTAATTTATTGTTTCCAAAGAGGACATTTGTTCTGGACTCCAACAGGACAAGCATTACAACAACCACCACTACAAACCATTTAGAGTTATTCAGAGCATTAATCGAGCAAGTTACAAATGAATTCTTAAACCTTTTAAATTTTCAAATCTTCTGTCAGAAAGTAACAGCTCATATTGCAAGTACAGGATATGACTTAGATTGCACAAAATTCCTGTGGCTTGCTGTAATGCACACTGTTCTGATAAGGGCTGTGGGCTTTCTGGACTATAATTTTCGTGGCTGCCTGCACCACTTTTAACAACCTCCATTTTACTGAGAAATTTCCAGACCACGCTATTATTTTGTGTCTAATTATACTTATACGTGCTTAAAACAGGAAACACAAAAATGCTCAGACAGAAGCATGACTTTTTGAGAGAGCCCACCCAGCCAACATGAAAACCAACATAGTTATACAACCATTTTTAAAACATTTGTGAAAAAAGAATTTTTTACCATTTAATAATAGAGCTGTGTGTCCTCTGTTTTAGCTTCTGAAAAAGGCTGGATAGTATTAAAAGCAGAGCTAAAATCAATAAAAAACGCAGCCAAGCATAAGCTGTGGGGTCTTCAGGGGGTTTTAAAACCAAGTGCATCATGCTGTTTCTAGGATCAACTGTGTTTTGAGGCTGCAAGCTGGTGTCAGCTTAGGGCAGACATAATCAGTCATTTGGTGAACAACGTTCCCTCTAATGTTTCACGTGTCTGAGCGAACACACAAACTCTCTGAGCGTCCCTTGGACCACTGTGAGCAACAGCAGACGTGTGCACTGTGGTCACGCCAGCATCCAATCCATCCAAGTTACATGTTTATTAAAGTAATCAAATTACAGCATTTATGTTAGACTACTTTTAATTAACTGCTTTAGCCCACTTACAATGAAAATTTAAAAAATCGTGTTCCTGTCCTGTGCAGCATGTTAACACTATTGGAAGGAAACATAACTTCAACTCCAATTTTGAAAACACAACTTTCTTTATTTATTATAAAGCTCTGACTGTATTGTGAGTCTGTGGTCTGGGAGAGAGTCTGTAACTCTGTCTGCAAATACAGTAAATAATGACCAATGTTGGGTAATTAATTATATAGTTACTTCTTCAAAAAAGTAACTGAGTTTTGCAAACAACAAAGTTTTTTGCAGCTGTTTACCTAAAAATGCAGCCAAGGCGTTTTTTAAATAAACATTTCAAACTATTTACAGAACAATCAGCTGTTCTGCATCAAATCTGATGCCACACAAATTATTTGTGCCGCTCCAAAAAATAATTTGTGTCCACTATGAGATGAAGGAGAACAACAGCCTGATACCTGCAGGCCTGACAGCAGCAGATGTGTCACTGCTGTAACACCTGCAACACTCAGCAGGCGCCTCATTGTTCTGACACACACAAACAAACTACTGACTACACACACTACACACTAACTACACACTAACTACACACTAACTACACACTCACTACACACTAACTACACAAGATTTGTGCTAAACGTCTCAAATCTCTCACATCTCAAACACGCCGTCACTCCTAAAACTTCCCCCTCCCTAAACAACTAAATGCCATGTTGCCATATCATTCTTTGATTGGTCCACATGGTACATTTTTCCACCAATAGGAAAGGCTGGAGTTTTGGGTTTTTGCTCACAGGCTTTCGAGTGTTTTCCTCATAAAACGCAGTTTTTACCGTTTCTTCCTGCAGTAAATATAAACAACGACAGTATTCAGGAAGAAAAACAAACATTGCAGATATTTTATCATAACTCTGGTTTTACGTGGCCGATCAACACAATTTAACAAACTGGTATAAAGTCCACACTTTGTCCGTCAGTTGTTCCGTCTGTCCTGCTCACATCTCCAATGGTTGTACACGTTGTCATTAACGTGGCTTCACCCCACAGCAGCCGCTTTGCTAAAACACCGGCACATAAGGACGCTGTCATAGCCTGTCAGCGACGTTGATTAGCTGCGTATATACGAATGTGAATCGCATCATTGGCTGGACTTTGGGATAAGGTGGCATCGTTCGGGGTCCAAGGAACCTACACACAGAAGCGAGTGTTAACACTACACTGAACAATCACAAAAGCAAACTTAGACTTAGCCGGGGCTTTCCAAACTCGGGGCATTCAACGTTCCAGCGATGAGCTGCTCTGAGCCTCAACCATAAATAGCGGCCAGGGAAAACAGGAACTAATTAGCTGCAGGTGCCGATCATCAGCGCAGATGCGTCGGCCAAAAGCGGGAGCCCAGTAATGAGTTCTGCCCAGGCAGACAGAGGAGAGCGAGCGACATGGAAAACAACAAAAACAACACTGTGGGCCAATGTGAGCCAGCTGGCGAGACAGGGGACCAACATTATACACATTATATTCTTAGTTAACAAACTTAACAAACCTGTTTTGTTTTTTTTTTGCTTTTGTCTGGAATGCGCTAACTCGGGAGCAGTGTTGGTCAAATTACTTGAAAAAAGTAATCAGTACCTAATTACTGATTACTTCCCCCAAAAAGCAATCCCGTTACTTTACTGATTACTTATTTTCAAAACTAATTAGTGAATTGGTGATAAAGCGATAGATCTTTCTGCTCAATTCTACTTTTTCTACATAATCCATCATATAAAATGCAACAAGCAAACATTAAATTATCTGCAACATTCTCTGACTGGAAGAAATTTGTTTAACATTTAAACCTGTTTTCTGCACATTCCAGCACATACAATAAAAACATTTTTTGTGTTTACACTCAGCCTTTCAAATAAATGCAAGTGAAACACAGAAAATAAATAAAACCAAAGACAAAAAAATCACGGTTTTAGTAACGCAGCATGCTTATGGGAAAGTAACGGTAATATAATTACCTTTTTTGCAATAGTAATCCCTTACTTTACGTGTTACTTGAAAAAAGTAATTGGATTACAGTACTGAACAACTCTGCTCGGGAGTGACCTCAGGTATCTGGAACACGGCATTATTGGTTTTTACATTAAATGGTTTGATTTGACCTGATGAAGAGGTTGTAAAGTCCGGTTTATGCTAATGGGTGTCAATACAACCATGCAAATTATTGTTTTAAAATGTAAAAAAAGGAACAGTCCTCAGGCTGGACTAAAACATCTGTGTTGAAAAATAACAAGCCAACATTTTCCTTCTGTTAACACTGAGCAAGCTTCGTGTTAACGCTTTCAGCACAGCCAGGATTTCTCTGTTATCTGGATTCACTTACCCTAACACTGCCGATCAGAGGCCTGTACTACGAAGCGGGATTTTGGGTTATCCAGACTACATCAGGGTTAACCCATGCTGCACACCTAACTTGCTCCGGAGCAGGTTAAGATCCAGATTACAGATCAAAAGTGTCATTCTGGTGGAACCAGCTCCTCAATAAAGGAAGTCTGGATGAGCTCACTGTTTAACCTCTGATCCTGAGTATTACCCAGCAGGCACTGCAGAGTTCGGCTGAAGCCGATCTGTGAGACTCAGCCAGCACTAACTGCCTCTGTTATCCAGGTGGCTACCCTGCCTCCTCTGATAAAATCTGGGAACCCGAGTAGCATTAAAGGTCCGATACCGGCCACACCAGTGCTTCTGCTCTGCTGTCACAGACACTAGTCTTTTGGCTGAATGAACGCTGGCGCATCTGGCTGCCGCTGCTCACCGATTTATTCTCGTTGTTATTTGTTTTTATTTTGTTTTAAAGTTATTGATGACAACTTGACTGAAGTATTTTAAGCGTATTTAAAGCACAATCCTGTTTTGACTTGCTTTTGCAATATTTGCGGGTTTTTACTGCTCGCACTCCAGCTGCCTGCTCGGTCTTTTACCCTCATGGCCTTTTCCAACCGTCTACATTCAGCAGCAGCCCTGATCAAGATGTGGATCCACAGGGTGTCTGTGTGATCCGTGCTCACCTGGGTTGTTTTTTCCATCGCTCGTCACCCGGCGACAGCTCTACTTCAGTACACTGAACTTCTGCAACTCCGCTTCCTAACTCTCTACCTGTGGCGCTTTACTTTCTTAATTGCCCCTTGGAGATAAATAAAGCCTTTCTGATTCTGATTCTGATTTAACTCTATCCAGACATCGCTTTCAAGCCCCGCCACGCGTACATTCACCGAGGGCTTCGGCGAAACTTCAATACCAATGACACTAACTCAATAGTGTCCAGTCCATCTGGTCCAAAACTCGTCGTCATCCCCGCAAAACTGACCGGACTGTTGACCACAATGTGCTGGCACACCTTGTTAGGTCGGCTAAGCCTGGCATCGTAATTCCAGCATCAACTTCTGTCTTTTAAACATTCGCTCTTACCGGTAAGGGACATCTTGTCCAGGATCTCCTCTCGGACCGTAAGTTGGACTTTCTTTGCTTGACTGAAACGTGGCAACAGCCTAATGTTTTTGTTTCACTTAATGACTCTACTCCATCTGAGTTTGTTTACATCTGTCAATCTCGCAACTCTGGGAGGGGGCGGCGGCCTCGTGATAATTCACCACAAGCACTGGAAAGTTCTCCCTGTCTCTTCCCCACCCTTCCACTCATTTGAATACATCGCAGTACAGCTCCTTGTATATACTCCCACCACCTAAGCCAAATAAGGAATTTTTAAATGACTTTGCTGCTGAAGGCTTTTCAGGGAGTTTTTAGGACATCCTGAATTACTGTCGTCCAGCCTGGAAGTAATAAATGCATGAACTAGTTTTTCAGCGTCACTCTGAGACAGGATATTTCTAACTTTAGAGATGTATGAGGTATACAAGTAAAACACAGAGGTGGTGGTGTGAGCTTTCTTTTCTTTTCTTTTCTGTCATTATTCACATTGTAATTGGAGTGGTTATTCTGCCGGAGCTGACCGAGGGTGAGCTATGTTGGCAAAAGATAGGGGAAGTAATAATAAAATTAAAAAAAGAAGAAGAAAAGGAATAGAATGAGAGAGAGAGAAAAAAGGGAGGGCTGATAACCCGATATTAGGTTTAGAGGGCTCTTTTGCAGATAACTTTAGATAAACTTTTTCATTTAATAAAGGAAGTCATAATTTAATAACTGTATTTTGTATTTACTCGGGTCACCTTTGTCTAAATAAAACTGTCCAATCGTAAGTGCTGACCATTGCTGTCTATGTGTCTCTGCAGATGGGAAGCTGAAAACCTGGGTGTATGGAGTAGCAGCAGGAGCATTTGTGCTGCTTGTCTTTATAATCTCCATGACATACTTAGCATGGTAAAGTAACACATCTGAAATATATTCTGACTTCATCATCAATTTGATTTTTTTCCCTCATGATGTCAATAATGTACATTAAGTGATGTGATGGAGATCACCATGAAAGAAAGTCAAATTAAAATGTAGTTCACTAATTAGCAATTAGTGATTTTGTACTGTGTCTCATAAAGTTTAGGACTAAATGAAATAGAATCCTAAAAAATCAAAGTGGGACGAGTCACAGGGAGTCAAATCCGTAGCGGGTGAGCATTTTCAGTGTACTGTGAGTGTGCACTGTCATGATGAAGCACCCATCTGCTATTGCAGATTGGATGTTGCAAAAGAATCTGAACATCCTGCAACAATCTTACAATTTTTTTGATTATTTTTGATGTTGGGAATTTCACACATTGGCCAGTTTGGCGACCATAGGGACGAGTCAGTAAGGATTTTTCTTTTCTTTTAAATAATGGCTCTGACATCATGTTCACTGATCAGATAGCAATTTGTTTTTAACAACCAATTGCCTACCTGATCACTGAGCCATACTAAGCTCAAAAGTCAGAGTCCGATCTATTGGTAAACGGTAAATGGGCTGTATTTGTATAGCACTTTACTTAGTCCCTATGGACCCCAAAGCGCTTTACACTCACACACTGTTGACGACAAGCTACATTGTAGCCACAGCTGCCCTGGGGCGCACTGACAGAGGCGAGTCAGTGCGCCTATTAAATCAACGACACGTCAACAGACTTCTTAGATTTCGGTTTTCATGTAGAATGAAGTGTAACGCCTGTCTTCCATCTTGCATTGTCTATTTAAAGGCCATATTATGAAAAAAAAGCATCATCCAATAAAATGACATGGGATCTGACCTCCATCACAACACTGCTCACAATTATTTCTTCATTTGTTTTCGTTTTTCATTTTTCTGTTTCCCTTATCATTTGTTCCTTCTTGTCTTGTCTTGTCCCTTTTTTCTTTCTACCCTCTCACACTCTATTTAGTTGTTGTGGTTGTTGCCTTTGCTGCAAGTCAAGCTCCAAGTCCCCCTCAGACAGGATTTATTGGATGGAGCAAAACAGCTGCACTTATACCTGTCCCGCCTGCCAGAAACTAGAGCAAGAGGAGTTAAAGTGGTGCAACAAACAGCAACCGCAGCTGCAGGAAAAGCAACAGCAATATGAGGCACAGCTCTCAAAGCCTCCATCATCACAACAACATCCAGAGCTACAGCACTCACTGCCACACCCAGCTCCGTTTGAAACTCTTATCACGTAGTCAAGGCCTTACTTAACTCCTTTTATTCTCTACGACATGTGACATGTTCCCAAACATCCAGATTGCTTGTTCAATCATTTCAGTGGATCACCTACTAGAGGTGAGAAAACCAAAAAGCTGCTGATTTGACAGCAAAAAGTTGAAAAGTTGACCTTGTGGTGAAAATATTGAATCATATTTGTACAAGTTTATTAGTTGAATTAAGTCTTTGTTAAACAATTTCAATTCAGTTCACTTCAGTTTTATTAATATAGCAACAATTCAAAACAACACTCTCCTCGAGGTGCTTTATATTGCAAGGTAAAGACCCCAACAATCAGACCATTTGGTATGAGCATGCACTTGACCACAGTGGAAAGGAAAAACTCCCTTTCAATATGAAGAAACCTCTGGAAATGTAGAATTTCAACTTCTCTCATATTGCAGAGCAAATGCAATATCACCGTTTTTGCACATTTTAATGTTTATTTTAAGTTAATATTACCAGGACTGTAACCAAAGTTTAGAAAATAGTGATGTGGTAATGTATCAATGTGTAGCACCTGTGCTTGGTTGTACCAGCTGAAGACTGATGGATAAACTTCCAAAGACAGTGGTGTTGTTTTTAGGGCAGATATGACAGAAACACAGAATCATGTCTCGTATGTAACAGGTTGGTCATGAGTGGAAGTTACTGTCAGGTGGCTGCTATCAGATTGTCTTACTGTTCCTCACCTGTTCTTTGTTTGTTCTGTAGCAAAAAGCCAAAGAAGCCACAGAGACGCCAGATGAACAACAGACTGAAGCCTTTGACTCTGGCTTACGATGGAGATGCAGACATGTAGAAGTCTTCCTGCTCAACGTACAAACATTTGTCTTCTTTCAGAACTTACGGCATTGCCGTGGAAACCCTTTGATATCAGCGCCAATGCTGAGACTCGTTCACATGCAAAAGAAGAACCTCAAAGATCAAGACTGACCACATTCATTAGCAGCCTAGTTTTCCCCATCTGTTTTTAAATGTTCATTTTGGCATTTATTTCACAAGAGCCTTCATGGATTCTTTGTTTCCTGCTGAAAGTCCTCCTTTGCTTCTTTGCCATCTACCACTGCCCAAAATATTCAAACAACAGTCACTGAATAGTGTCTCCGCAGATCAAATACTTCTGTGAAAATCATTCCCTCATTTTTTTCACTGCTCAGTGACATTGCCTTGATATCACTTGTTCTGTGTCAAATGAACATTCAGAGGCCTGAGTGTCATTATGGCTTCGGTGCATCTCACAAGAAACAATATGACGAGGAGACAAAAAGGAGCTTAATAAATCCCAGAGACAGCATCACTTCTGCCTGCCTGTCCCTTCTCCATTTTTCAGGGATAATTTTGCACTATATTAGTGCAGCATGATATGTACTTAGGTCTAGGTATGCCTGTCTCAATACAGATGTTGTAGAAATGTACAGAAGAAGGCTTTTTTGCAAACGAAAACTCACCAATGTTTGTAATTATTTTTCTTCTATTGCCTCTTTTTACATGATTTGATGGGACTTTGTGTAAATAGGATTTTTTTAATGTGGTCTCAACTTTATCTTTCTATTATGTCTAGCTAAATGTTCCAAACTCTGCCAGTTAATCTCTGACATTTTTTTTACTAATTGTAACAAACTTTTTAATTTCAATTTAATTTATATAGTGCGAAATCACAACATCAAGGCGCTTTATATTATAAGATAAAGACCCTACAATCAAACCAACCACCTTTGAAAAAGCACTTGTTGACAGTGGGGAGGAAAAACTCCCTTTTAACAGGAAGAAACCTCTGACAGAACAGGCTCAGGGAGGGGCGGCCAAATTTCAGAACCAGTTGGGGGTTGTGTGATTTTATCTTTGTAAATACGTAACATACATCAAAATCTTCTGTGGAAAATTCAAACATCATGAAAGCCTTTAGATTATTACATGGAAAGAACAAAGAAAAAGTCTAAAAAAACTAAACATGGAAGATAAGTTCATCATCAAATTGTTTCTTTCATCCCCAAGAACTCTCAGTTGAGTCCATCTAAGAAATATTATATTTAACACCAAAATTTTTGACTTTAGCGCTGTTTGTTTGTTTGTTTTTAATTCATTATTGAAAATAATGGCTTTACCAGTGGCTACTAAGTTTGGACCACTTGTTATTTACTTACGATCAGCTACAAGTGTACATCTTTAAGCTTGGTTCTGCACCAGTTATGTGGTGAATTTGGGAATCTCTCAGCCTGGCTTCTTTCTGATATGTAGCTTAAAAATATTATTTATCCTCAAAAATAATTTATTGGAATTTTTTTTCTGTGGTTCTTCTCTTAAAGTCTTCTGTATACCTTTGATTTTTGACTCATTTTGAATTTGACCTCTGCCAGCCGATATTGCCTCTCCAGTGTAATGTTCATTGTCCATCAGTTTATGGAGTCTTCAGCAATGTTGAAAACTAATTGGTCTTTCAGCCCTTGAACTTTCTTTATCAGAGGATGATGTGAGAACCTTTCCAGCTTTTCTATTGTTTTCAAAGACTTTAGGAAGAATAATTGTGTAGGAATGTTTTAAAGTGAAAATGGCTGAAGTAAGCTGAAGGTCCAGTCACTCAGAATGGATAGTGTTGTATTTATTAGTACTGAGACATTGCCGGAAAATGGCAGTTTAATATTCTGTGAAGTTTGTTGGTAGTAAATCAGTGGAATGTTTAATTTATATTTCTTGGAAAATGATTTGTAAATAAAATTCTTTTTAAAAAAAAAAGAAAAGAAAAGAAACAAACTTGGAAGTGTGAATGTGGGTGCGCTACATGATAAGCTTGTGACAAATAAGTCAAGTTTTCCTACTGTTTGTTTGTATGTATTTGAGTAATTGCTGATAATAAACAATGGAAATATTATTCTAATTCTTTTAATAACATATTAAATCATGCAAATTGCAGTACAGGTATTCACACAAGGTTCAAATAAGTTGGTCTTTGGTTTCAGGCTTTACCTGACAGTCATTACAAATATAAGTCTGTAGATAACTGGAATTAAGTAATGTAGCACACAGAATAACTGAATCATCACTGTTGACTTTTTTCTTTTTCTTTATAATTATCAAGAGGGGAAAAACCTCACTGTCCCCAACCAGCTTCTCTTCTGGGCAGATGCCAAAGATTTCAGAGTCCATCAGGAGAGACAATCTCTTATGTGTGTCCTAGGTCTGTACCTGCTTTCTCCCGCTTGAACATGCTGGAAACACCTCACCTCAGAGCCGTCCAGGAGGCATTCTAGTCAGACGCCATCACCACCACCTAAACTGCTGCTTCCGATGTGGAGGAGTAGTAGCTCTATTCTCAAATCTACTCAAGTTCCTCAACCCATCTCTAAGGGAGTGGTCAGACTCTTGGGAGGAAGCTCTTATCTGCTGCTTGATTTCATTCCTTGTTTTTTTTTTTTTTAAGAACTATAGCTTGTGGTCATAGGTGCTTTACCACAAAAGATTATCAGCCCTTTTGTGATTCTCAGTCACAAAAGGACTCAGTAGGTCTAAGGTTAGGTGACAGTCAGGAGTCCTTATTATTTTCCAGGCTGAAGTACTTCACTCTTTAAAGCACTGAGATTTTTTTAAAGCACTGACATGTGTTATCCTGCTGCTGAATCCTTCTCTACAAAGTTGGAAACCTGAGGTTGGAGCATGTCGATGAAGGGTGAAGTCTGAGTACTACCATGCCCCCACCACAACAAAAGAAAAGCACCAATTTAATGTATTTGACAAAGACTAACATAAGAGTAACATAATTCAATTCAAATCAGGCAAATGGGAACCATGAAGAGGCCCTAGAAAAGCTGCAACCACCAAGTACCTGCAGAGGGTCAGGCAAGTCCTGAGGAGTCAGCTGAATGGTAAGAACAAGATCCGGGCCATCAACACGTACGCCCTGCCCGTGATCAGGTACCCTGCTGGGGTAATAGGCTGGCCAAAGGAGGAGATAGAAGCCACTGACATAAAGACAAGAAAGCTCCTTACCATGCATGGAGGGTTTCACCCCAAGTCCAGCACCCTGAGGCTGTACGCTAAGCGGAAGGAAGGGGGCCGGGGACTGGTGAGTGTCAGCACCACAGTCCAGGATGAGACAACGAACATCCAAGAATACATTGGGAAGATGGCCCCAACTGACCGAGTGCTCAGTGAATACCTCAGGCAGCAGAAACCCAAGAAAGAGGAGGGAGACGAGGAACCATCATGGAAGGACAGGCCCCTGCACGGTATGTACCACCGGCAGATAGAGGAGGTGGCTGATATCCAGAAATCCTACCAGTGGCTGGACAAAGCTGGACTGAAAGACAGCACAGAGGCACTAATCATGGCAGCACAAGAACAAGCTCTGAGCACAAGATCCATAGAGGCTGGGGTCTATCACACCAGGCAAGACCCCAGGTGCAGGCTGTGTAAAGATGCCCCAGAGACAATCCAGCACATAACAGCAGGGTGCAAGATGCTAGCAGGCAAGGCATACATGGAACGCCATAACCAAGTGGCCGGCATAGTGTACAGGAACATCTGTGCCGAGTATAACCTGGAAGTCCCGAGGTCAAAATGGGAGATGCCCCCAAGGGTGGTGGAGAATGACCGAGCTAAGATCCTGTGGGACTTCCAGATACAGACGGACAAAATGGTGGTGGCTAACCAACCGGACATAGTGGTGGTAGACAAACAGAAGAAGACGGCCGTAGTGATCGATGTAGCGGTTCCGAATGACAGCAATATCAGGAAGAAGGAACACGAGAAGCTGGAGAAATACCAAGGGCTCAGAGAAGAGCTCGAGAGGATGTGGAGGGTGAAGGTAACGGTGGTCCCCGTGGTAATCGGAGCACTAGGTGCGGTGACTCCCAAGCTAGGCGAGTGGCTCCAGCAGATCCCGGGAACTAACATCGGAGATCTCTGTCCAGAAGAGCGCAGTCCTGGGAACAGCTAAGATACTGCGCAGGACCCTCAAGCTCCCAGGCCTCTGGTAGAGGACCCGAGCTTGAAGGATAAACCGCCCGCAGGGGCGTGTAGGGATGTTTATATATATATATATATATATATATATATATATATATATATATATATATATATATATATATATAATGCATACGATATAACTGACGATATAATTGACACTAGACAAAATACTTTACAACTCCACAACTTTATTAGTGCAAAAAAAAACCCATCAATGTATTTTCACTTAAACAAGCAGCTGTTTTTTATGTGCATTAAAGTTATATAAAAATGTAACAGTGCAAATGCAAATTCCTGCTGACAGTTTAACCAAAAGGCATTTCCAGTGGAAATGGCCGACATATCCTCAGCATAACCATGTATAATATCCACAAAACTTAAAAAGAGGTTATACACACACAATACGGTAATATTATGTTGAAGCACAGTACGTATCACTCCGCGAGGCTCCGCCTACGATAGCCGTAATGCTCCGACAATCCATCAAGCGGTGCGGCTTCGTAGCTTAGCAAAGTCGTACTGAAACATTTGACAGATTTTCGAGCGCCGTGCACATAAAATCGTTTCGAGGTCAGTAAACACAACCAGAGTTCATACATAAGGCACACGGGATTATAAGGGGCTCTGTCGACTTTCAGAAAAATCAAAGGATTGATTTTAAGTGCGCCGTATTTTCCAAACAACACGGTAATAACGACGGCCCGCTAGCATGCCTACCAAAAATAGTGCTTTGTTGTGTATCTGACGGACGAAAGCTAAACCAGTTCCACACCACTGAAGTGCAGCATTTTTACAAACCATTCTGGTTCATCTGTTTCATTCAACGATCCACTTTCCCCTTCTCATTCTCCGTCACCGCCATGCTTTTTCCGCCATGTGTGTATGAAAACAAAGGCCTGCGCATGCGCGTTTTACCCATATTCTATCGCAATATTTCATTTTTTTATCGTTGCCCAACATTATACCGGTATTACCGTGAACGGTGTGATATGGCCCAGCCCTAGTCCTGAGTGCTTGAAAAAGATAACTGGTTGACTTCTTGTTTCTTGAAGATTAATCCTGTACACAAATGTGAAAGATCTCCTAAAAAAACACAGACAGTGGCTCCAGTGTACACTTTTCATTGCTAAAATGCATTTGCACCCTGTTACAAATGCATTTTAATAAAGTTTCTTTTTAACATTACTTGCAGTGTATGTTCATAATAGAGTTGATACACTCCTTATTAGTTGCAAGTATTTAACTCCATGATGTGAAGGAGGGTGCTGAAGGTAGACTGGTTCACACTGACACTAACATAGAGCATAAGCAATAGACAAGCGTCATCAGTGCAGGTCTTTAAGTCCAGATTGAAAACCTATTTTTATTCCCTGGCTTTTAACTCTGTAGGAAACTGACACCTTCTTATTTATTTTATTGTTTGTAATGATTTTATGGTATTTTTAATTTGGTTGTTGTTTTGATTTGTGTTGTTCAGCACTTTGGTCTGCCTGGTGTGTTCTTAAAGTGCTATACAAATAAACGATGATGATGATGATGATGATGATAAGCAAGGAGAGGCTGCCTTAGGAATGTGTTGGGGTTATGGGAGGATGGCGTTCCTGCACTGGCGATAGCGCAGCAAGGCACAGAAACTTCAAGGTGTCGGGTTAAGGTTGACACCAACCTAGAGGAAGCATGTCTGTAACAACTGCAGTAGTAGGGAGCAGTTGTTTTTCTGCTCTTTTCAGGGAGATGCCCGACTGGAGGAGAAGAAACACAAGCCGGACACCGGACTCACTGTGCACAGTTTGGTGTTATAATTGATTGAAAATGTGAATGAAATAAAAATGTTCGGTGTGATAATAGATTACAAACTGATACTAATTTTAAAAAAATGTTTCTATAATGCATAAAGTTGAATATCTGTCTAACCACAATGCTCATAGATCATTGTATTATTCTGTGGTCCGGCCACCTCTCAGTTATTGTGCTGAGTTATGAAACACATATGATATCAATTAAAATCCTTAACAACTTTGACCAAAGAGCAGTCAAGACAGTTTGCTGATGTGATCTCTTCTGCATCGTTACTGGTTGACTTAATCAATTAATTACTAAAATCATCGAGAGATCAATCTTTTAATTATTATTACACTTTAGTGCAGTAATAACTGATTTCACCAGCAGATGTCAGTAAAAGATCGCTTAAAGTACACAGACTGCCCAGTTAGACCTGGATTTTGGTTTGGTGCTGCCTATTAATTCCTGACTGAAGACATGCAGCGGTACAAGCCTCAAATACAACATTCAGTTAACTGAAAATTAGTTTTATTGCTCTTTTGAGAAGCTGGATGACCTTTGGAGCCGTCTGAACCTTATTAAGTCTCTATCTGACATGGCTCATAGCTTGCGCTTGTACTCCTGCTTCACTAAAAGACAAAGGAGGAGCAGTTAGCTGGAGAGGGATCGGTCAGTGTACATTAACCTCTGCCGTGAAAAAATGTTGCTGAAAACATTCAAACTGGAATCACATTGTGTGGTCAGTCATTCTGTCTGGGCTTAGAATGCTGCAGACTTGTGGCTTGTGCTGATATTTTCACTGCACACTGCTTTGTGTTGCAGAGGGATCTTGAAGGCAGTGATTCTGTCCTAATGCAGGAAGGTGCGTAGACAATTACATCTAATTTTCTAATTGTTTTACTCTGCCACTGATTACTTTTTTGTCCTCTGCTGTTGAAGGAATGTCATTTCTTTTATTGTTAGAGCCTCTGATTATGATTGGATGCTGAGAAATAAAAAGAGACATAATGCATGGTTTTGGTCCCCTCATTTAATCAGCACTTCACATAACAATTTCTCTGTCTTCCAATTATATTCCCTCAGCCAAGAAAAGGATATCCTACAGCCTGCCCTGATCAATTAAGTCATTTCGTAAAATCTACTTCAAACAGTAATTTTGCTGTAACTACAGAGACATTAAAATTTGGTAAAAAGATTTCCATCATTCTTTATTTCAAATTTCTCCAAAGTCCAAAGATAGATAAATAAATAAATAAATACATACATACATACATACATACATACATACATACATACATACATACATACATACATACATACATACATACATACATACATAAAGCACTGCCTCAGCCCAGGAAAGCTGTCTGTTATGAGAAGGTTTTAAATTAGGCAGTACAGTGATCTGCAAAAGAGCAAAATCACAGAAAAGTTCTCATCTTGTGCTGTGAATCATATAAATCTGCCACTGCAAATATCAGGAAACAGTTTTTGCAGCACCAGATGGTGATGAAGAGTGACTTTGCGAACTTGGTGATCTCAGAAATCATGTCAGAATGCACACAACTCGCCAATGTTTACCAAACTCATGTTTGTTGAAAAAAATAGCAAAAATGGTCATACATCCAGACACTTCATTTGGGTATTAAGTGGTAAGTCAAATACTCTAGCTGGAAGATTCGTTTGACAGTGAAATTTCAACTGGAGCAGCAGCGGCAGGCTTTCTAATTGTTTTCATTTGAGACTGATCATGGGTGGATTTACTCTAGTTGCAAAGTAAAATAACTGCTAAATCTACTGTAAACATTGCCCCCAAAAAATCATCCTGTATGTTACAGTGTTCTAAAAATCCCTCAAATCTCAGAAATAACCTTGAAGAGAAAGTCTTGTCCAAAAAGTGACCAAAACTGTAAAGAAAAAGTAAAGTTGTGAAAAACCTGAATTATACTTTGAACTATTCTTTGAGAAGCTTATTGCAGACCCGTTTTGGGTTTATGGCAGCAAACCATAAAGAAGGAAGCCATGTACAGAAGTTAAGTCCTT